GTGTAGGAAGTGCTAGTGATCCTTTGGGATCTGGGATTATTACCACAGTTAAATTGGATGGTACAAACTATTTAGAATGGGCACAATCAGCCAAAATGGCTACTGATGCTCATGGAAAACTGGGGTACATTACTGGGGAGGAAAAGAAGCCTGATACAAATTCTTCCTAGTGGGTGCAAGAGAATTACATGGTGATGTCTTGGCTGTGAACTTCTATGTTACCTCACATTGGTAAAAGCTTTTTGTAGGCTAATACTACAAAGGAGATTTGTGATGGTATAACTGAGACCTATTCCCAAAAACAAAATGTAGCCAAAGCCTATCAGTTGAGGAACCAGGTGATTAATACAAAACAAAGAGATAGACCTCTTGCTATGTATTTCTCTATGTTGAAGACACTTTGGCAAGAGATAGACCACTTAGAGACTATTGTTTGAGAGAGCACTAAGGATGCAACAACCTATCAAAAATTGGTAGAGAAGAATAAAGTTTTTGAGTTGTTGGTTGGGCTAAACCCTGAATTTGATATTGTCAGACAGCACATCCTTTCTAGAGAAAGTATGACTCTTTCTCAAGCATATGCCTTTGTGTTCAGAGAGAAGAATAAGAGATTAACTTTCAACTAAAACTTGGGGCATAATGTTTTGTACTATTGGATGATTTCAGACTTATTGATAAGACATAAGAGTTTTTTTTTTCAACTCTAGCAGTGACTTCTATGTTTTTCAATGAGTTCAATATTTTCAGGCATATTGATAAAAAAATTCTAGGCATATGAACAACATTAAAATTCTGATTATACCATTGAGGATAAAATACCAAAAATAATTAATAGGTCAACTAACCAATGAGTTGGGGATTCATAGAATCATAATCAATCAACTAAATTGGTAAGGATCATAAAGCATGCATTCTAAAATCTAGTTGTATATGTATTATGGATTCAAGAATCCATCCCTATTCTATAATCTGGTTGAGGCTAAAAGGTTTTGGTGATAGATGGATTAGATGGATATAAGGTTGCATCAAGTCAGCTTGGTTCACTATTCTTTTTAATGGATCTTCTCAAGGATACTTGGAGGAGGTTACGGGTCTTAAATGTAACATGGCCAAAAGCAGCATCGTGGGGCTTCATCTTTCTCAAGAAAAGTTGGAAGAGTTAAGAAGCATTCTAGATTGCAAAGTGGAGAACTAGCCAATTAAGTATTTGGGCTGCCTTTGGGTGGAAATCCAAGATCCACTAGTTTTTGGTATCCTGACCTTGAGAGATGTGAAAGAAGACTGGATGTGTGGAAGAGAAATTATCCTTCCAAAGAAGGTAGGCTTACACTCATTAAGGCAACCTTGTCAAATTTGCCTTCCCACCAGTGTTTTAAAAGCGCAAGGGCCAATTTGCACCGAAGGCAAGGTGCACACCTTTTTGAAGCAAGGCGCAAAAATACAAAAAAAATAAAAAAAAAAGCTAAAAAATTGGAAAAAAAAATCCAAAAATGCAAAAAAAAATATTAAACATAATATTAATAAGAAATACAAACTTAAATTTTAAAATTAATGGTTAAAAAAACCGATTATCTAAAATGAAACTACATAAACATAACATGTAAAGCATATTCAAATGAAAATTTAAAAATAAAATCAAACATATAAAACATTTTCAAGCATGTAAATACCCACAATCTCTTTTTCTCCTCAATTGCATTACTTTAAGTAGCTAATGTGATGTAAAACATATTACATTCCTGATTCTAAGAGTCGCCTTTGTGCCACGCCCCTTGAGGCAAGCCCAAACAAGTCCATGTCTGGGTCTTAAATTCTTAATTCTCACACAAAAAATAATGATTTTATAATTTTAATTGCCTTTTAAGAAGATATTTTATCAAGATGAATGAATGAACAACATTAGCAATTTGAAAATTGTACATTTTTTGCTTTTTTTGAACCTAGTGGCCGGGCCCCGAGTGCAGACCTGGGCGAGGCGCCTGTGTGCCTCGCCTGTGTGCCTAGGCACACCTTTTAAATCACTGGTTCCCACTTTTTGTTTGTCTTTAAGATTTCGATTAAAGTCAAGAATCAAATTGAAAAAACGCAACGAGACTTCCTCTGGGATGGTGGAGGTGACAAGAGAGACCATTTAATTAATTAGCAAGAGGTGTGCAAGCTGAAGCCAAAGGAAGGATTGGGTTTGGGGCACTTTTTGGAGAGAAATATTGCTTTTTGGGTAATTGGTTGTGGAGATTCCCTCCGGAGCATGATAGTCTTTGGGCTTATGTCATTTGGAGTAAATATTGAAGGAATAGAAATGGTTAGGATAGCAACTTATCTCTTAATAGAGCCTCCACCTTCAGCCCTTGGAAAGAGGTATTGTCTCACACTTTGATCTTTTTGTGCCCTTCTTGAGATATATTGTAGGAAACGGTAATTGCAGAAAATTCTAGATAGACCTTTGGCTAGGACAACAACCCCTTTGTCTCTCTTTCCCCGACCTCTTTAGACTCTCCCAAGATAAGGATGCCCTCGTCTCATCAAACATCTCTAGAGGAGAACAAGGCCTCTCCTTCAATTTCAACATTTGTAGATCTCTAATTAACACCGAATCTCAACCCATCTCCTCCCTCCTTTCCTCTCTCTTCGGTGTCTTTATTGTCCCAGAGCTTCTTAACAACCTTTTATATAAGGTTGGTGGTAGGGTCCATTAACTCCTCTTTTCCTTTTAAGAGAATTTGGCCCTCCATGGCTCCCCCTAGAGTTTGCTTCTTTATATGGGAGGCAGTTAGAGGCAACATAAATACTTTTGACAAAATCTTAAGGAAGAGAATAGGTCATCTATATTTGGCCCCTCACATGTGTTTATTATGCCTAAAGGAAGGAGAATCTCGTGGTCCTCTTCTTATCAATTGTGAAGTAGATGTAGATCATAGCCTTTGGCAATTTTTCCTCAACCTCTTCTGTAATAGCTCTTTCTCCTGGGCTCCACCTCTTGAAGTTGAAGATTTTCTCAAACAAGGCCGGGTTGTAGGTTGGAAAATAGAGATAGATTGTTTGGGAAGGTGGTGACTCATGCTGTAATCTAGAGCATCTAGGAGGAGAGAAGTAAAAGAGCTTTTGAAGGGAAATGCTCTCCCTTGGAAGACTTGAAAGCGAGAATCATTTTCCTAATCAATGGCTGGTTGAAAGATCACAAGTTGTTTAGAACAGTGTTAGAAAAAGGTAAAAAATCAAAAGATTATTGAACATAATATCAATAAAAAATAAACTTAAATTTTAAAATAAATGCTTTAAAAAACCTATTATCTAAAATTAAAATACATAAATATAACATGTAAAGCATATTCAAATGAGAATTTAAAAATAAAGTCAAGCATACAAAACCCACAATCTCTTTTTTTCTCAATTGCATTACTTCAAGTAGCTAATGTAATGTAAAACATATTACGTTCCTGATTCTACGAGCCGCCTTTGCGCCACACCCCTCGAGGCAAGCCCAAACAAGTCCACCTTAGGTCTTAAATTCTTAGTTCCCACACAAAAAAATAATGATTTTATAGTTTAAATTGCTTTTTAAGAAGATATTTATTAGGATGAATGAATGAACAACATTACCAAATCGAGGGTTCTCAAAGCTTCGAAAGGCGCACGCCTGGGCTAAGGCACAAGGCGCACCAGGTGTGCGCCTTTTGAAAGGGTTGCGCCTAGGACCTAGGTGAGGCGCCTACCCTAAAATGTGCATCACCTATGCGCCTAGGCATGCCTCAGGCACGCCTTTTAAATCACTGGTTTAGAGACATTTCTTTTGGAGACTTGGACAAAAATCTATGGCAGGTTCTAAACTCCTCTTGCTCCGTGCCCTCTAGTCCCCCCAGCCTTTCTCCCAGACCTCCAGTGGACATCATTCTTCATTTTGATGGCAGTTGCAGAATAGTATTGAGCCACAAGGGCCAGGCTGGGATTGGGTGTAAAATTATTAAAACTAATGGTGAACTGCTTTGGGCATTTAGTGGGCCAATTCGTATAATAGACTCAGCAAAAGAAGAAATTTGTGCCTTGCTTGTGGGTTTGAGAGCTGCAGTTAATTTGAATCTCACTGATTTGGTGGTGGAAGGAGATTCAAAAATGGTCATCAACTTGGATGAAGGATTTAAAAGATGGACCTTGGAGATTCAGCTTCTTCTTTATGAAATCCCTCTGTTTTTGTCATTTTAGATGGATTACTAGGAAGCTGAATAGAATGGCCAACTATTTAGCTAACCCTGGAGTGGGGAGGAATTTTTTGCATAGTGAATCCTCAATGCCTTAGTAAATCCTTGGTAATTTCATTTTTTGGGTTTTGGGTTTGTTCTGGCTGGTGTTTTGTACATCCTCTGTTTTTTCATGAAAGCTATCATTTTCTCAAAAAAAAATCGCTTATGTTTTGGTCTAGATGATGGGATTGATTATAGACTCTGCGCTTAGAAAATGAACCCAAGACTCTCAACTCTTACCAGGGAGGTAAACTCTATTGTGAACAGACTTCCTAGATCAGGCATCAATGGGTCTTTTTTTCTCAAAAGGTATCTCTATTACTACATATTTCAGTTTTCTTTTTACTTTTTGGAGGGGGTCATATCCATACACTTTGTAACATCAATTTACATAATCATCTTCTAGATTCTAACACTATAATCCTGTCATCTTTCTTTATAAAAAGAAGTCACAACTAGAGGTATTACCTACATTGTAGCAAAAAAAATGCATAAAATGAGTGAAGAATAACTTCAATCCATCTGAAAATTATGAGTAAAAGCTGTGCCAGTTGAAAGCATTTAACGTGATATAAGAAATTAAAATTGAACACATACTGAACAAAGGTAGTTCAGTGAAGTGAATATGGATGCTTCCAATTTGTGAAAGAAGAATAACAGATAGAAGCAGTGGTATATACAAAATCATTACCTTCAAAGAGATTAAAAATTAAAACAAAAAATACATGGCAACGCAAATAATTTCCCACCACATAAACATACCTCCAGCACCAGTAAGCTTCTGTACAAGGGGATTATGTCTAGCATAGAGATAACTGAATTGCTGCAACTCTGGTTGCTGCCTGGAAACCTGTTTCAGTAACCGGTTCAGGATTACAACAGATGAATAGAATAAATACAGAAACATAAACTGGTTCATGAAAGTGTCTGGAATCTGGATACTGACGTGGTTTTCAAAACCAGTTTTCCTCACAAGTTTATTCGTAATTGTAAAAGTGGAATTGAACTCACACTGCCCCCGGATCTCCCTCACATTTTTAATGCTCCCTAACATTGGATTTGGGTGAAACTCTCGGCAATAAGCATACTTTCTATCCAGGGATGTTTTATCTATAGCTCATTTACCATGCTCATGTGAAAGAGAACAAACAGATGGGCCTATTGAAAAGGAACCAGCAACACACATTTCTTGATCGAGAACAGCCAATAAACATCACCACGGCATCAAACTAAGCACTAAGTACACAGCCAGGGAATCAAATAGAAAAATCACTAACACCCCATTCAAACTGATAATGTTACATATTACGTCCCAAGACAAACGCTGCGACTTTCCCTTGACTGAAAACCCATAAGGTATCGATTTGAATAAGAAAGAAAGGAAAGCAAAATAGGTTTATAGGAAAAAAAAAAAACAAAAAACACTTACAGATGTCAAAACTAGGGTTCTTGAAACATTGATAAGAAGATGAAATAAAAAAAATAAGAGAAGAGGATTCTGAGATTCACTGTCAAAGAACCCATCAAACAAATGAGAAGTGGAAACAAAAAGAAAACAACTCATAAATCTTTTAATTCGGACTTAACAAGAAAATTGAACTGACCTGCGTGAGAAGGCGCCTCCAAGCCATCTCCTCTTAAGAGACCAACGAAAATCTCTTCGCCTCTCTGCGTATGGCGTAGACAGGTAATTGAAGACAGGAGAAATGAAGAAAGAAGGAAAAAGAAAAGAAACGACGGATTTCGTGAAAATCTTAACCTCGACTTGATGAAATTGAAAGATATTTTATTTTGTCTATGATACCGAAAATGTACAATAACTTAAAATTGTTGGCCAATCAACCGGTATTATTCAACTGGTATTAATCAAAATTCAGGTAGGGTTGTGAATTGTGATGGCCGAGCGATTGGTCAAAGTTCTTTTAGCTATTTGGTACCTCGCCATTCCGGCATCATAGAAAATGCCTTTTGTTTAATAATTTTTATTTATTTGTTATTCAACAACACAAACGGCGACTCTGTTCCAAAATTTAAACGACGCGTAGTGTTGCTGGGCACCTCACATTTTTTGAGTGAAATACTGAAATACCTGTTCCTTGCTTATAAATTTGATAATTACCGTCTGATTATTTACTTAGTGATTAGGGCACATCCTACTTTTTTTAGCGCCATACACCGTAATCATATTTTTTTCCGACTCGCTGTTGAACCGATTGATCAGACCGATATTTTAATAATCTGGTCAGAGTACCGGTTCGGATCAACCTTCAACCCGTTATTTTACAAAAATCCCTTGACTCGGTCAATGGTACATCTTGTTGAACCGTTGACCCTATATGGCATGTTCAGTATGTCACAAGTAAAGATAGAAATATAAAAATATGACGAATACATTTAGATTTATATACTTCCATCTTAATTTAGTATTTGGTTGCAGTGCAATTTTATTTGTAGTAATACAAAATGTATGGGAGTGCAAATGCAAATTTTATTTTAATTTTGTTTTAGATTTTATTTTATTCTGATTTATATCTTTTTTAATTCATTTTTAATGCAATCAAACAAAATAAGATAAAATTTAAAACAAAAAAAAAATAAATCAAAACTAGCAGCCAAATCATTTGCACTACCATAATTTTGCATCAGTGCAAGTGAATTTGCACTGCAACCAAACACAGCCTTTGGAGTAAAGATGTATAAAATTAAATGGTCTTGGTTCACAAGTGATGTTACCATTTCCGGTCACATATCAAATTTTTTGTTTAAGTACCTTATCATTTCGTCTGCTCCCATGTGGTTGGTGACTCAAAGGCTGAAGTGAAGCTCCCTGATGGTGAGCTACCTAGTGGCGAACTACCTGGTGCCGAGCTGCCTTGATGAGCTGCTTGGAGGTGAGCTACCTTGATGAGCTACCTGGTGGTGAGCTATCTTGATGAGCTGCCTTGATGGTGAGCTACCTTAATGAGCTTTGTTGCTCTTTTAGAGGCCATCCCTTTTTATATCTTAGCATTTGCCTTCTTTTGCCCCTGGGGGGTGAGGTCTTTATATACTGGAGTCCTCGTGGGTTAGGTGGAGCAATTCACATCGGTGCCAAGTCACCTCTCCAATGCATGGTCGCTTGGCTTTATGGTCGTCCCCCTTTAACACGTAAGCGGCGCCTCCCATGGACCGGTTTGAGCCAGAAGAGTGCCCCGGCCATTGGACTTGAGGTCATGATCCAGTGCAACTGACTTTGGTGGAGCCATCCCAACGGGCAACTCCTAGCCTCTAAGCGCATCACGGCTTGTCCTGGCCTACCTTGGCCTGGACGCCGCATGAGTTTTTTCCGCTGTAGAACTACCCCCGTGACAAGGTGTTATAATATCATTGGAGGGCCAAATCTACCCTCATCCACAAGCTTATTTTTTCTCCTCCTTACATTAGACAGCAACATGTGCTATGCTTGTTTGTAAGTAGTAATCATATATAAGATTTATTGTATATGATTTAATTTTTATGACATAAGTGGAACTTAAGGCAAGCATCCCGTTTATATAATATAAATGAAATGAACTGTGAGCCATGCACTCCCCTCCATTTGTATTGGCTTGCATCCCATTTTATGACGTCAACTCCCATGAAAGTGAATGGCCGATAGACATGTTCACATGGGTATGAATTTACATTATATTGGGTTTGGGCTTCCCACTGGGTTTATTCAAATTTTGACAAAAAGTCAAGCCGAATACGGCCATGAACAGGTCTAGTGGCCAAGGTTTTTCTCTTATAGTGTGAAAACTTTTTATTTTTCAACACTATAGCAGCGAGGCCCCAACTTTGGCATGTTATTTGAAACAAATAGGGTGTAAGCAGGTGAATATGGTTTTTTGGACTAGAAAGCTGAAGCAATGGCAGTAAAATTGTGACTTAAGAAAATGATGGTCTCGATTGGTTTTAGAGAGTGATTGTCAATGGGTTGGAACGGGATCTGCTCCTCACACTTGGGCACCTCACATGCACATCTATCATGCATTGGGAACATCTCCCGTGAATAATAATTTAAAAGTATGGGAAATGTTCTCATGGTTGGATGTGTGTGTGAAGCGCCCTATGTGAGGAGCAGATCCGATCTCTAATGGGTTAGAGATTGCATAAATGGTCGAACTTATCACTTAGCCCTGGTTTTGATGTACTTATAGGATAAGTACGTGCTTATAGGACAAGTATTTATTTATCTTAATAAGTATTTATGATTGTTTGGTCGAAAAAACATTTCTTTCAAATAGGGATAGTATATCTGTATATGCATTTTGAAAAGTAGGTGGCAGGTCAAGATGGACCAAAAACACGATAATCATTTTTTTCGAAAAGCGCTTAAATAAGCCTAAAAGTCTGACTTCTTCAAAATGGCTAATTGGAATAAGCACTTATTCGACTTATTTTTCCTAAACACACAAAAAATGCTCATTGATGTGGTTCCAACCTAATAAAATAAATGCTTTAAAACGATGGATTGTTTTATAAAAGTTTTTAAAATCGAATCAGTCAGGGTCCGGTTGTTGAATGGTCCGATTGTTCGAACCGAATGGACGGCCTACTCTAACAAAAAATAAAAAATAAAAAATGGTCAAAATCATTGAATGGTTCGACCACCTGGGTCAGTAGTTTGCTAATCAAATCAACAGTTTTTGGTGAAATAACAGTTTTGAGGCAAAATAGAACTAGTTCCAGTTTTCCCGGTCCGACTGTCCGATCCATTCCGGTTTTGAAAACAATGTGTTTTACAATAAAATGTATCATTAAATTAGGTATGGTGCTGGAAGCAACATTTATCCATATAAACAAGGAAAGAGACTATGTTGTTCACCCTTTGCTTCTAAAGGATTTGTTGAAAGTCAGCTGCTAAAAAATCAGGTTCCAACCTGATTACCTATCATTCCGGGGGAAAAAATTGTTGAAACTCAACAATGTGTTTGGTTCCGTTTACATTTATTGAATAAACATTTGTACTTTATTTGTTGGTAAAACCGAGAAATGTAATAATTACAACCATTTATGACAAAAAGGCGCCACTAGGCTCCACATTAGTGTAATAGTGAAAAAACGGCTGACTATTTGTGGAAGCTTTAAAAAATAACTTCCACAAATGATTAGCATGCACAAAAACCAAAGTTAACTTTTATCATTTTCGATGCATACGAAAGCGCAAGAGAGAAATTGCTGAAGTGGTACCTATGTGGCAGCGTTTATTGAATAAACGCCCACGACATGAAAACAAACACCCTCATACTAAGGCCTTGTTCGCTTTTCGGTAACTTACTTATCCGGGTAAATGCAGTTACCTGGGTAAGTTTTTCCTGGAAAACACCTACCCAGGTAAGTGCATTTACCCATGTTCTTTTTTTTCTCATGTAAATAAGACAATGACCATTTTATCCATAAAATTCCATTATTAAAAGGGGCATTTTTGTCTCATTTAAAGATTGGCAACTTTCCCCCTATGTGAGAAAGTTATTTACCCACCTAGGAGATGGGTATCACTTACTCGAGTAAGTGGTACCCAAGAAAATAAACTTTCCCTAGTCCCCACATAAATCTGAAAAGAGAACATGAGATTCTTGGTCAATGGGAACAAAAATCCCATTGACCAACTTTCCCCCTCTCAAATTCCAAAAAAAGAATGCCCCCTAAGTGGGAACTGGAAAACATGGTTGGCTTTGTTTTTTAAAATAAAAACAGCTGCCATGTCAGCAAAAACAATACAAATTTTGACCCTTTTTTTTCAAAAACAAAACACCCCCTAAAAATTTTAGAAAAGAAAGATTATGTAGTCTTGCTCAGTCAAAAAGTTTGTTAAGTGTATCGTTTTTCTGACTTCTGCTTTTGTCACTTGTTTTTTGTATTTAGTCATTTTAGTGCTCTGGTTTCTCTTTTGCAAGGTTTGTAAAACTGAATTTGACAACGAACCGGTTAGGGGTCTAATTTTCGGGTCAAACTGTTTGATCGTTCGAACCGAATAGACAGTCTGTTTTGACAAAAAATAAAAAATAAAAATAAAAAACAGCCAAAACCATTGGATATTTTAATGGTTCGACCGTCGGGCCAGCGATTTGCTGACCAAATCAATGGTTTTTGGCGAAATAACAGTTCTAGGGTAAAACGGACCGATTCTTTATTTTTTCAATCTGGTTTTGAAAACCATATTTTATTGGAAATTCCCACAATAAAACACTGGTTCATGCACTTCCAAAGAATTAATCATTATTTTGATGGGGCATGCACATAAATATATAAATTTTGTAAATACACATTATGGTGTATATAATAATATGAATATATAATATGCATGTATAAATGTCTTTGGATGTTAAATGAGTTTGAATTAGATTGGACTGGGCTCTACTTAAGCTCAAGCTACTTGATGCCTAAATTTAATTAAAATAACAGACAACAGAGTAATCAGATTGCTAAGTTTGAATCTTCTTCCTTAAGTGTTGTAACAACATTCAGTGAATCTGAAGACAAACAAGAAATTTTCAATTAAACCGCCATAAGCTTTGCTTCAAGCATCCCAACTTGTACATAAAAAATACCACTTAGGGCGGTCAAAAACTTTTGGTTACAACTGAGACCTGGGGTGGAGCTAGGATTTTCTTCTGAGGGAGGCCAAAAAGTAATAAATATAGATGGGGTGTCAAAAGTTAATAAATATAGATAAGGGAACCAAAATATAGATAAAGTTAAAATGGGTATTGTAAGATCTGCCACCCCCTGGCTCCGCCCCTAATTGAGACATACAAAATCATATGTCCCTGCTCTGTCTTTTATTAATCCCCGTCACAAAATATAATTGCATTGTTATCCATCAGGCCATTTGTAGAATTTAAACCAGGAAGGCATGGTCTTCTATAGTTCTATGCATA